TCTGATTTTTTTCAGTTCTTTATATATTCTAGATAGTAGTCCTTTGTCTGAGGTACAGCTGCTAAAAATTTTTTCCCACATTGTAGGTTCTTTTAGCTCTGTTGGTGGTTTCTCTTGCAGTGCAGCTTTTTAATAAGATGAGATCCCAGTTGTTGATTCTTTGTGCAAGTTCTCGTGCCACTGAGGTTTTGTTCCTAAAATTTTTTCCTATGCCAATGTCTTCAAGAGTTCTACCTAACTTGTCTTCCAGCAAATTTAGTGTTTCTGTCTTAACATTTAAATCTTTAATCCACTTCAATCTTAATTTAGTGCTCGGTGATGGGTATGGGTCTAGTTTTAATCTTTGGCAGGTTGAAATCCAGTTTTTCCAACACCATTTATTAAATAGGCTATCTCTTTCCTCCAATGATGATGGTTGGCTGCTTTGTCAAAGATGAGGTGCCTGAGCATATCTGTAGTCATTTCTGCATCTTCTAATCAATTCCACTGATCCTTGTGTTTCTTTGCCAGTACTATGCTGTTTTTATCACAGTAGCTTTGTAGTATAGTTTCAAGTTGGGGATTATAATACCCCCAGCCATATCTCTGTTGCCTAAAATCAGAAATTTACATTTTTAAATGTAATGGTTCCCAGTGTTCTTTTCTTTCTTTTTCAATTTTTTTCTTTCTTAATACACATTTGCAGCACGTTTACCTTCATCACAGGAAAGAGGTGAATGTACATAAAACATCTTAATTCCACTTACTCCCCCACCTCTTGGTCCCCTTCTTATCAGCAAAAGATCCATCTCCCTGTTTCCTATTACAAATCTTTACTTTGCTCTTTAGTTATACTTCTGGTTTCCACTGTGGAAATCAGTATGGAGATTCCTCAAAGAGCTAAAAGTAAAAATTCCACTGCACCCAGCCTTTCCCCTTCTACAGCCACCATATTGCAGTGACCCACACACAGCCACACTTAGAGCGGCACAACTCACAGGAGCTGAACTTTGGAAGCAGCCTGCGTGCCCAGCAGCAGAGGAATGGATGAAGAAAATGCAACATTTACACACAACAGAGCACTACTCTGTTTTCCTTTTAAATCAGTAAGATCTGCAGTTGCTCCCCCTTTCAATTGTTTTCAAGTTTTCATTTTTGCAGATATTGCTTTTCTAAATTTTCAGAGAAACAGATTTTGTTATTTATGCTACCAATGTTTTCAGAAATCTTATTGAGTTTCGCAAATTTTAATTTTCCCCCATGTCTTTATGTTTACTTTTTAACTTTTTTTCCCCTGGCTTTTTGAGTTGGATGCTGAGTTCCCTTGCTTTTTTATTTTTCTTGTTTCAAATAAATTCAGCCACAGCCATAAAATCCCTTTTGTGCTCACATGCACATACTTCGAGCCCTTGTTGTTATTCAGTTCTATTTCCCAAGTTCACTTCTTATTTCTTTCTTAACACAAGGGTTATTCAATATACTTTTGTTTCTCCAAGTATGAGATTTTTTTAAACAATCCTTCTGTGACTCTGTTACAGTTTTATTGGATTGTGGTTACAGAATGGTGTCCAAGCTGGCTTGTGATTTGGAATTCACGGTGATTTTCCTCCTAGGCTAACACACCGTCTATTCTCACGGTGGCTTTATGCGACCTTGGCAGAATCAAGATCTATTTATTGAGTTACGTGCACACCTACTGCCACTATTAGCCGTCCTCTCCAATGCGTAAAACAATGAGTCGCTGTCTCTTTGGCCCCTTTACGACCACCGAGCCCCAAATTTTGTGTTGCCTGCTAACTAAATGGTCACCTAAACTTTCCTGCTGGTTTATCTTTGATAGCATATCTTTCCTTAAATCCCTTTATCTAAAAAACATGCAATATATATTTGTTGGGCAGATGTTTCTCCATGATGGTTAACTGCTGAAAATTTTTATGTATTTGTTTTCATCATCAACCAAATCTGAGAATGAATGTCCTTCCGCAAGTTGTCTTATTCACATTATTGACATTATGATACTTTGTATTTGTTTTGTTTGTTAAACATTATCGTTGTTTCTTTTTTCTCCTTATTGCTATTTAGGTAGAGTTTTGTTGTTTTCTGGTGGCTTAAAAAATTATTTATTCTAGGTTTCATTTTCTTACAGTTCCCTTTGTCACTCAAGGCCCACAATACGACTTTTCCTAGGGTTTCTGGGCCATCTCTTCCAGTCTCCTCGGAAGGAGAGCGCAGCTGCCTCCTGCCCTCCCCGGAAGCCCTGATGTCGCTGCCCGGTGCCACCTGCCACCGCCTCCTGCAGGTTGGGTTCCAGGTTCCTCTGGGTTTGCTGTCCTTGCTCCTCGCTGATGCTGGCTTGGTGTTATCACCACTTACAACGAAGGCAGATAGGGACCCTCCGATCTCAGGCCTCCAGCATTCTTTAATACCAGAAGGTTATCTATCAGACACCGTCCGGTGAGTCTCATTTCCTCGGTGTTTGTCCGACTTGGTCTCCCACGCGAGGGGGACTGATTCCCTCAACCTCCCCTTGAGCTTTCCCGTCGTGCTACGCCCTTGTCCCTGACTGAGGTGTTGGGAGCTCTTCCGGGTTTCCCAGTTTAGGTCTCACCTCTGGGCTGAGGTCACCAGCGGTTGACCCGCAGCCCCGCCCTTACGGAAGTGCTGGGGACCCGGCCGCTCACCCCGCCCCGCCGGGCCTGCGCACTACTGAGCTCCGCCAGGCCATTGGGTGGTGCTGCTGAGGTCAGGGCGGGCCTGCCCCTTGGTTCGCTGGCGCACATGTCAATCATCTCTGGAACTGCCCCTCACTATCACACCCGGAAGTGGGCTTCACCCCTCGGCAGGCTTCCTGCGGTCCGTTCAGCAGCGGCTGACAGCCAGGCGTTGGCCCGGGCGGGGTCTGCTGCCCCTCTGCTGCCGGCAGGGTGGGCTCCGGGTAACCCAGGACGGCCTCCCCACGGTTGGGCCTCATTTTATCCCAGCCACAGGGGCCCGTCGCCCCCAAGCGACCGCCGACCTCCACCCTCCCGGTGCGACCTCGCGCGGCGCCAGCGTCCTCCGGGCGGGCCTTCCCGCCCTGGCCACGTGACCTGCAGGCTGCCGCACCGGTGACCCGCACGGGCCCCGCGAACCGACTCGGGTGCCTCACGCTCAAGCCCGCGCACCCCAGCTCCCGCGTGGGAAGCGTGACGACGCTCGGCTACTCGGCGCAGATCAGCACCCGGCCAGCCCCGGCCAGCACAGACCCGAGGGCAGTGGTGCCCGCGCCCAGTCGCGCTGGGATGCGTGCAGAGCGGCAGGTGGCGTCCAGGTCAGAGGGTCCACGGCCCTCCACTCCCACGTCCCCGTGTCCACCTTCTCCTGTCCGGTGCGCCTCCCATGCCACCTTGATTGGCTGCTTAGCTTCCCGTCGGTCTCTCCTCCTGCCTGCCTTCCTGCCATCTAGCTTTCCTCTTTGCGTTTTTCCAGGGATGGATTTTCCATCTATTTATATTCAGAGTTGGTGGCAGTTAATCTAAAGGGTCTCATCTCACTGTGTAGCCCAGGCTGGCCTTGAACTGGCAGAAATCTTCCTGCCTCAGCCTTCTGGGTTCTGGAATGATAGGCATGTGCCACCACATGAGTAGTCTTTTAATATATATGCATAGATATGGTCTGAGAGTTTTATCTTTTAATTTCTGTTAATACCTTAGCTGCTGCCCTTAATTTGTATGCTGTGGGTAGCGCCTGCATGGCTTCCTGCCTACTGCCCTTGCTTAGGCCCTTCCTCCTCCTCCACCTCCCCTGAACTTTCGTGCTCTGACCGCACTGTGCCCACCTGTGTGCTGCGTCCTCCCTCCCTCTGGCCCGTGTCCCACCCCTCCCAGCACTGCCTGGCCCCTCCAAACCTCCCCTGCCTTCTCTTGGGCAGTTCCCATTGCCTGCTACCTGCATTGGCTGACCATCCCTGCAGGGCCCCTTCCTCAGCCGGCCCTGGCTCCCAGGTGCCCTGTCTGAGAGGAGGAGGCATCTCGTCCAGTTTCGAGGCTGCAGTAGATGCTCTCGAATCCCAGTGGTCCCCAGTGCGAAGCAGACTCCGCGAACGTGTGTGGACTGGCTGGACGGACAGGTAAGAGCCAGGGCATCGCAGAGCCTGACCTCGAAATGGGCCGGGCCTCCTCCTGGCCGGAACCAGCTCCTGCTCGATCCTGAACCAGGTGCCTGGGCAGCTGTGGGTCAGGCCATGAGGGGCCATCAGGATTACAGCACCTCCCACTTCTCACCCCCAGACAAAGAGGAACAGACTTGGGGACCTCAAAGCTTTATTTTGTACTCCACTTGAGGGAGAGCATCAGAGGACTCTGCAGGGCAAACATCGCCTGAATAGTTCACAAAACTGCACCACTGGATACTTCAAGAGCCCCCTCTGGAAACATGCAGAGGTCATTTAACATGGAAATCTCTATAAATTCACACGCACATATTTCTGAGGGCATGTGGAAGAAATCCCACTCGTGTATAGGACCAGGACGGAAGCCCTCTCCTCTTTCTCGCCTGTCCTCTCCTTCCCTTGTATGTGCTCTAAACCTCTCTGTGGTGATGTCACTGTTAGGATTTGGAAGCTGAGGCTCCTGTCACTGTGCTCTACCACAGGCCCCGCTTGTCCTCAGTTCCTGGGGCAACAGGAGTAGGGATGGCCTGAGGATGGCCACGGTTACATCTGTGCTGCCCTTTCCTCTCCAGTGCCCCACCTCCAAACTGCTGTCCTCCCTCCTCTGTGAGCAGCCAGCAGCCTTCTGGAGGATCAGCAGATGAATAGCGTCCCATCTCCTGGCCCACACCCTGAGCCATCCATGTTCACAACCCATTCCAGGGGGAAGAGAAGGAGGTCCACACAGGAAATCCTCCCCAGTCAGGGTGGGATTCACCACAGCCCTGCAGCTGTCCGGGGGCTGCTTAGCACCTCAACTGCCATGAGACTAACATTCATTCAGCTGCTCTCTGCCTCAGTTTCCCTCATAGTCCATGAGGGCCATAGGGAACATGGGTGCTGTTGTCAAGGAGAGAATGAAGGGAAGGTGTCCACAGCAGAGCAAGCACTCCCATAGGGGTTTGTCAGAGAAACAAATGGAGCACTGGCTTAAACCCAGGACATTTGCCTCTAGACCTGGGATCCCTTCCCTTTAACCATGTTCTCCAGACAGAGGTGGCCACGTCCTGAGCACCCGGAACAAACGCTGCCGACTTGGACCAGCCATTGCTGAGCTGCCAGAACGGGGAGCGGGGTGCATGGGGCTCAGTGAAACTCATTCACCCATCAGTGATGCCTCCCTCAAGCCCAGAATGGGAAAATGCCCAAAGGCAAGCAGATCTCTGCCCAGAGGGTGCACTTTCCTTCACCATGTGACAGTTAAGCCTAATTGTCAACTTGTAGCTTGGGAGCCATCCAAGGGATTAATAATTCACACTTCTGGGTGTGTCCAGGTGGTTATGGAGGAGACCTTGGGTACTATGTCTGGTCCCTGGCCCTCCCTGTCTGGCACTGTTCCCTGCCCTGTTTCCTGGCCATCATAAACTGAGCAGTAATCTTCCGCTAGGCCCTTCCACCATGATGTCCTACCTTGGAGTAGCTGCCCTTGGACTGAATCCCCTGAAACCATGAGCCATACTAAACCTCTCCTTCAGGTTGTGAGTGTCGAGTGTGCTTTGGTGATCAGAAAGCTGACTAACACAACCATCAGGCCTCATCTCCAGGGATGGGAGGACTGTAGTCTCCTTCTCCCTCGCTCCCCCACTCAATGACACATCTATGACAATGGCAGATCAGGTGTCACCACGACAGCATTCTCTTCTGGATACCCTAACTGTACTGCAGCTTTCCTAACACCTCAAGGACTGAGCGGTTCTCACTGGGGATAAAACCTGTGCTTCAGGAGCTCCTAAAGGTAAGGGCAAAACAATTTGTATTTGTTTCGAACCTAATGCCATCCATAATTAATGAGATGACTGGAGCTCAGCAGAGCGCGAAACCACTTCGTGTATTTGATGCTGGATTTCTTCTTCCGGGGACGAAGAATAAATTTACCCTTAAGCTTTCATTTTATTTTTTTGCAGGAAAGGTTATTTCTCTGACTAAACACTTGGCTTCCTTTCGTGCATTCTTGACTAATGTTAGTCACCATCATGAGGTAAGCAAGGACTGCTGGAAGCTGCTTTCAAATAGTGGCCCTGAGAGTGGAGATGCTAACTGGGTTATCACAAATTCGGTTAATGCCTTTCTCCATCCCCCAGCTTAAACTCTTGACACAGTTTTTAAGTTTTTACAAATCACTTGGAAGGCTTTTTCCTGTCTCGATACACATTGCAAAACTAAAAACTTCCACTTTGAGCTGGCGTCCAGGAGAAAGTACAGGTCCATTGCAATACTGCAGGAGTCTGCTTCCCGAGCTACCCGTGGACACGCAGGAAGAGCACGGTGTAAGCTGACTTGCCCCTCCCTTGGAGGACCCACCCAGGGCAGGCTCCCTCCTGAGCCAAGGGCCAGGGCACAACTGACCGGCACTTCCCATATTCATTTATCCAGTCAGCCTCTCAAAATCTTTGTGTTTGCTTTTGGCGACATCCTGGAGGAGAGGTTTCAGGTTTTGACCTGATTCTCACATCAAAGCCTCCCTGGGTCCTGCCAGGTGTTTCCAACAGGAGGGAAGGTGCGGGGAGGACTTGAAGCTTAGATGGCTCAGAAGGGGACTGATTCAAGGAGGGTCCATAAGGGAGGCTGGTGCTGCCTTAGGGCTGAAAGGTGCTGGAATTTGGGCAAAAGTTGAGAGAAAGGCTGGAGCTGACTGCAAATAGAAGTCACCTGAGATCACCAGAAAGGAGTCATTTTGTTAGCTCTGAAGAAAATAGCAATCACACAGCCAAGTGAATTAGGTGAGCCGGAAGTGGGGTCCAAGACCTACTTAGAAGGCCCTTGCACACCTGGCAAAGGCAGTTGGCATGTACTGTGGACATTATAAATCTGAGAGTTGTGTCTGTTTGTTTTGTTTTGTTTCACGGGAGAATGTCCTGACTAAAACTGTGGTTTGATAGTAATTTGATAAGGGTGAGAACATTGGTTTTGAAAAGAGAGGAATTACAAGGCAATTTAAAGCCAGATGGGGGGAAGTCCCCAAAAGGAGCCCAGAGTTTGCCTGACCTAACCCCCAGCGTCCACATGGTGTTAGCTGTGTCCCGCAAGAGGAAGCAGGAGACAGGTGGGGCTCAGGAGTGTTGAGGCCCTGCCACACCGGGCAGGGACAGAGGCAGGCAGTGGTATGGGTGGGGCCTGAGGGCAGGGGAGCGAGGAGGAGGACACAATGCTGCCCTCTTTGCTGAAAGAGAAGTCCCACCTGGCGCTGCCGGGCACCACCCTCAGCCCGGGCAGCTGGTACCAGCACCGGGGCACCCTGCAGTCATCCCTGCCCACCCAGCATCCTCCGTCTGCAGGTCCCAGTGTCCTTCACACAGCCCCAGGCCATCTTGCCATGACACCTGCACCTGAGATCCGTCGCTTAGCCGCTTCACACCCCGTTCCTTCAGCCCAGGTGACAGGTGTCTGCCACCCTCACCCTGGATGTCCTCCATTCTGTGTCCAGGAGCCTGGCCCCGCCATGGTCTCCCCTGGCTGTTTGGAGGACCACCTCAGGATGCTCGGGCTGGGGACAGCACCTTCTCCTCCCCCGTGACTGGAACATGAGGAGCACACCGAATGGCATGGCTGTTTAGTAGCAACAGGGTGCTGAATTAATGCGGGGACACCATAGAGGGAAATCCCACCCCTCTGACAACACAGAGCCCGCGTCTGTGGACAGTTTTCGCTCCAGTGGCGATGAAGACTTACAAACCGCTACTGACAATCAGGTGGCAAGGTCTTTGTAAAAGGGGCAGCATCAAATAATAACAAATGCTGGCCAGGCTGCAGGGAAAAGGAACCCTTCTAACGTGGTTGGTTGTGATGTAAACTGGTACCACCACTGTAGAAATCAGTGTGGAGATTCCTCAGAACACTAAAACTAGAAATCCCACTTGACCCAGCTATCCCCCTGTAGGTGTCTTTCTGAAAGAGTTAAAGACATCTTGACTCAGTGATCCATGCACACCCATGTTTACAGCAGCACACAACTCACAATAGCTAAATCTTGGGAGTAGCCTATATGTCCATCAGCAGGTGAATGGATGAAGAAAATGTGATATTTATACACAGTGGAGTGCTACTCTCCCATAAAGAGGGACAAACAAGGCATTTTTAGGAAAATGGATGCATTTTGAGATATGATAGTCAACGAAATAAGTTAGACACACAAGCTTAAGTATCCCATGGTTTCTCATTAAGAAACTCAAAACTTAAATTTCATATGTATATATATTTAGAGAGAGAGATGGAGATGGGAGAGAAGGAAGGGAGAGGGCATGGAAAGAAAGAACTGAAGGGGAAAATGCTAAAAGTAGAGCTTGTGTAGATGGGAAGGGGACCGGGAGTTGGAAGAAGCACATGGCGAGGGAGGTAAACATGAAGAACTGGGATGTGTCCTGTCCACCCCCAACTCTCCCTGCAAACACAATCAGCATGTGCTGCAAACATGGGCTGATAACAAATGCCAAAAATGGGTGGCTGCGTCTAACCACGTGCAAACGTGCAAATCCTTCCCCAGCTGGGCAGCACTGTGGGACTCAGCCTGAAGTGGAGCGAGCAGAGCCTGGGTCTCCCTGCTGAGCTGATTTGTTCTTTGGAGACAGGGTTTCAGTAAGCCACTAAGGCCCAGGTTGGGCTCAAACTCATGATCCTCCTTCGTCAGCCTCGCAGCACGCTGCTGTTACAGGCCTCTGCCTCCATGCCAGGCTAACATTTTCTTCACACAGCTCCAGGGCAGCTGGGATGCAGCCCAAGAAAGATGCTTCATAAAGGACTTCATCCATGTACGTAGCTTGGGCCACCCCAGTTAGCAAATGCCCAGTAAGAGTCACCGTATTTACCGCAGGGGAGAGGCTCTAGTCTCCAGCTCTGCAGTTGGCCAGGAGAGATGAGCCGTGTGACAGCAGGGTCGCCGAGTGGTTTCCCACCAGCCCTTTGCAGACCCCAGTCCTGGAGGCACCCTCTGCTGCTCACCTTGCTCTCAGGTTCCCGAGGACTTCTTCACCCCAGGACATTTGCACATGCTTTGTCTTCCTGGAAGCTGTCTTCTCCCTCTCTTGGTTTGAGTTTATCCAAACCATTACTCAGGAGTGGGCTTCCTGTGAGTTTCTCAGGAGACCATGCCGGGCCTGGCCTTGGAGCGCTCTACTCACATGGGCCTGTGTGTGATTTGAACACACTGCCTGCCTCCCCTCAAGATATGCAAGCTCCATGAGACAGGAAGTCTTCCTGTTATTCCCAGTTGATACACCTGTGCGAGACTCATTGCTACTTCCACTTGGGAACCTCAATAAATAGCATCTGATTAATCAACACGTGCATTTTACAGGAGCTTAGCTGTGGATCATCATAGTTCTGTGCAGAATAAGTCACCGTGCCCGGGGGTGCAGCTGGGGGCCGGGCCAAGTGACCTGGTGACTTCTGGCAAACCGCTGCACTAACACCTGGCTTCAAGAAAGATGCTGTCCTGGGCTGCATGTGGATATCAGATCCTGACCTGCAGCACATGGCAGGAGGAGTGAGGAGGGGACCCCATAGGAGGCAGAAGCCGCGTGGGGAGAGGTGGCTTCCAGATGCCCATGCCACCCTGTCTGGTGCCTGGAGCTGCACTTGGAGACAGCGAGGCAGAGTCTGAAGACAGCGCTCAGCCACCAGCTGTGCACTATGGAGGCCCAGGCTTCCTGCCATGTGTGGACTGGGAGTGCGACAATGACCACAGTGGTGGCCTTTGGAGAACATGGCAAAGCTGGTGCCCCAGTCCACCCACGTCCGTGTGGGCCGGGCAGTGTCCACAGCCCAGAACTCCAAAGCCAAGTCAAGCCTTCACCAGGGATGAGGCCCCCAGTCACACAGTTTGGCCACAGGACAAGCTGCACAAGGGGCAACAGGCTCAGAGGCCAAAGGCTCCAAGGCCCTGACCGGAAGCAGCCCGGGAGACCAGCGGCCCCCGACCACGGCCTCGCCGCACATCCCGCTACTGCTGTGGGCGTCCATCCCCACACTCCCATTGCAGCTTTATCCTCAGGAGCTGACGTGGCCAAGCACAGGCGCACTTACTGCCCAGCACCACTCCATGCAAAGGACGACGAGGACGTTTGTATCTAACCTGATGCCGGGGACGTTTGATGGACCTCAGAGGACAGTGACAGGGATGCAGCAGGCCTGTGACTGAGCCCACAGGAAAGGCTGCCAGACTCTTGTCCACAACCAGGCAGGCGAGCCCCACCCGCACCTGGAGGCTGCCCCAGACTCTTTACGGGAGCCCGCACTGCTGGTGAAGCCCCGAGATCTCTACCTTCCCCTCCCAGCCGGAAACGGGACGAAGGGAAGGCTCTGTTGGCCTGAACAGGCTGTGATCCTCAGTGAGGCGGCGCTGACCCCAGCTTTTCTGCGATTCTGGGCTTACCCAAGCACAAACACTTGGGATGAAAGCTTTCTTGACACAGTGCTGATGGCTGGTCTTTCTTTCTTTGCAGCCCCTGAGTTGGACCTCTGGAAAACAAAATGCAGAACTTACACAAAATCATCAGGAAATCGCCTAGAAGTCCGTTCTGGCAAAGGCTATATCCATGTGTCAGACCTGCTACACACACCGCATTCGGCGTCCTTTTAAACACCAGGGCACCAAACAGAATCTTGAGAGCAGCCTCGGGCATCCGTTTCAAGACCTTTGGCCTCCACTTTGAAAGTTCTTTGTAGGTTACTCTGTATGCATAAAGCCTGGAAGCCCTGGTAGCTGCTTCCGACTCCAGACCATGCTTGTGAGCTCTATAAATAGGAGGTATTCATGTTCTCAAAAAGCTGTTTCCCTGTCTTGTGTTTTCTCCACTCAGAAGCTCCTTTCCAGTGTGTGTGTTTCTGACTATACCACCTCTGTCCTTCACCTTGGAGCCGCTGCCCATTCCCTCCAAAGAATAAGTACAAAAGGAAGCATCCCACTGGTGGAAGTCAGGGAGACAGGAGCCTAGGCCCACGTAATTCCCAGCAAAATGACAGTCAGCACCTGCACCATGCTGACTCTGCAGCAGCACTCACAGCCACGAGCTTCCTGGACCCCAGGGCAGCGGGCACAGCCGCAGCCTCTCCCAGAGCACAGGGCTCCCTGGGACTGGGGTCCCAGCTCGGGCTCAGGATCCGCTTCCTGAGCAAGGACCTCAGATTATAAATATGTGATGTGGTCAAAATATACAGTGAAAGTTTAATTTTTTTTTTTTTGGTACCAGGGAATGAACTTGGGTCCTTGCACTTGCGCAGCAGGTGGCAAAACCACTGAGCTAAATCCCCGACCCAAAAGTTTAAATTTTAAAAAATTACAGTAAAAATACATTGCTGTGACTCTGGCTCATGCTCCCCTTCCCATGCACTCATCCCATGGTTCTTACCACTTTTTGCAGCAGCTCTGGAGTCTCCTTCCTGGGTTTCTTTATGCAGTGTGATAAAAGATAGAGTAACTGCTGCTGCTGAGCACCATCCAATGGAAAGGCAGATCATAAAAACATGACGCTGTGTCCTCATCCACCATATTCCCCAGATCTGGCACTGTGTGATTTCTGGCTCTTCCCAAAGTCAAAATAACCACAAAAGGGAAATGTTTTGAGTCAGGATATCAAGGCAGATGACAGCAAAACTAAAGACACTCAGGAAAGAGGACTCCAGAGCTGCTGCAGAAAGTGACAAGAACGTCATTAATGCCAGTACAGCACACCAGAACTTATGGGATGCAATGAAACCAGTCCTACAAGGGAAATTTATAGCAGTGAATACACATATCAGGAAAACAGAGCAGGCTCACATAAACAACCTAATGTTGAACTCAAACTTCTAGAAAAAGAAGAGCAAGTCAAGTCCATAGCTCATGTGAGGGAGGAAATTATAAAAATCAGAGGAGAAATCAATGCAATAAAGACTAAAAAAAAAAAAAATACAAAGAATCAATGATTTGAAGAGTTGGTTCTTTGAAAGATTAAATAAAATTGACAAACCCTTAGCCAACCTTATCAAAAAAAGGAAAGAAAAGACTCAAATCCATGCAATTAGGAGTGAAGAGGGTGAAATTACAACAGATACTGCAGAAATCCAGAAGATCATCAATACCTGATTGGAGAACCTGTGTTCTAATAAGGTGGAAAATACAGAAGAAATGGACAGATTCCTAGATACATAGGAATTACCAAAACTGAATCAAGAAGATATAAAAACTCTGAATAACATAATATCAGTCATGAAATTGAAGATGTAACTAAAAACCCACAAACAAAGAAAAGCCCAGGCCCTGATGGAGTCACTGCTGAATTCTCCAAGACACTTAGAGAAGAACTAATGCCACTACTCCTCAAACTCTTTAATGAAATTGAAAGGAGAGCATTACTCCCAAATTCATTCCTGGAAGCAAGCATCACCCTGATATCCAAACCAAAGAAGGACCCAACCCAAAAAGAGAACTGCGGGCCAATCTCCCTAATGAACATAAATGCAAAAATCCTCAATAAGATACTGGCAAACAGAGTGCAGTAAATCAAGAAGATCATACACCCTGACCAAGTGGGATTCATCCACTTGGATGGAGGGATGGTTCAACATAAGCAAATCAATAAATGTAATGCACTATATCAGTAGAGCCAAGGACAAAAATATGATCCTCTCAATAGATGCAGAAAGATTGACAAGGTCCAACACCCAATTCATGATTAAAAAAAAAAACCTACAGAAAATTGGTATAGATGGTCTATATCTCAATCTGATAAAAGCCATCTATGACAAACCAACAGCCAACATCATACTAAATGGTCAAAAACTGAAAGCTTTCACTCTAAAATCAGAAACAAGACAAGGATGCCCACTGTCACCACTCTTCTTTAATATAGTTCTGGAAGCTCTAGCCAGAGCAATGAGACAAGAGAAAAGAAATAAAAGGAATAAGGATAGGAAAGGAAGAAGTTAGATTATCATTATTTGTGGATGACATGATAATCCACATAGAAGACTCTAAAAACTCCATGAAAAGACTTCTAGATTTGACAACCAAAGTCAGTAGCGTAGCTGGATACAAAGTCAGCGCACAAAAATCAATAGTTTTCCTGCACGTGGATAAAAGACTCATGGAGAGAGAAATTAGGGAAACAATCCCTTTCACAATAGCATCCAAAAAAATGAAATACCTAAGAATAGTATCCCAAGAAATGGCTAATGAAGGAAGTTAAAAACCACTACATTGAAAACTGCAGTACTCTGAAAAAGGAGATCAAAGAGGATATCAGAAAATGGAAAGACATCCCTTATTCTTCGATAGGAAGACCCAATATAGTGAAAATGGCCATGCTTCCAAAATTGTTATACAGATTTAATGCAATCCCAATCAAAATCCCAATAGCATATCTCACAGAATTAGAAAAAAAAAATCCTAAAATTCATTTGGAACCAGAAGAGACCTAGAATAACAAAGGCGGTTCTGGGCAACAAAGGCAAGGCAGGGGTTATCACAATCTCCAACTTGAAAGTATACTACAAAGCTACTGTGATTAAAAACAGCATGTTACTGGCAAAGAAACAGACCTGAGGACCAGCGGGACAGACTAAAAGGTGCAGAAACAACACCAGACACATTCAGCCTCCTCGTCTTTGACAAGGGATCCAAACAGCTTCACTGGAAGAAAGATAGCCTCTTTAATAAATGGTGCTTGGAAAACTGGCTTTCCAAATGCCAAAAGTTGAAATTAGACCCATATCTTTCATCATGCAGTAACCTAAAATCAAAATGGGTCAAAGATCTAAATATTAAAACAGAAACACTAAATCTGCTGGAAGAGCAAATAGGTAGAACGCTTGAGGACATAGGAGTAGCCAAAGACTTCATGAACGAAACTCAAACTGTGTGGGAAATACCACAAAGAATCAACAACTGGAATCTCATCTTATTAAAAAGCTTTAGCATGGCAAGAGGAGCCACTGACAGAGTGAAGAGACAACCCACAGCATGGGAAACATTTTTTGCCAGCTGTTCCTCAAACAAGGGACTAATATCTAGAATATATAAAGAATTCAAAATAATCAGACTTGCCCAAATTTAAAGACCCAGTACAAAAATGGACATCTGAAATAAATAAACACTTCTCAGATGAAGTAGAAATAGCAAATAAATATGTGAAAAAATGTTCAACATCATCAGTCATTCAAGAAATGCAAATTAAAACAATGCTGAGATTTCATCTCACTCCAGAAAGAATAGCTGTTATCCAGAAACCAGCCAATAACAAACTCTGGAGGAGCTGTGGTGGAAAAGGAACCCATCTCCATTGTTGGTGGGAGTGTAGACTGGTGCAACCACTGTGGAAATCAGTGCAGAGATTCCTCAAAAAACTAAAACTAAGAGGTTCCATTTGACCCAGCTATCCCCCTTCTTGGTATCTTCCCAAGAGAATTAAAAGCATCATGCCACAGCAATATATGCTCACCCATGTTTATAGCAGCACAGTTTGTAACCACTAAATCTTGGAAAGAGCCCAAATGCCCATCAACTGATGAATGGATAAAGAAGATGTAGTTTTTTTATACAATGGAATACCACTCTGCCATAAAGAGGAATGCACTTCAGACATTTATAGCTAAATGGATGGATCTTGGGACCATACTCTTAAGTGAAATAAAGCAGACACACATGGTTAAATACTGCATTGTTTCTCTGGTATGGAAAACCAAAAGTGGAAATAAGGACTAAAATATACAATAGACATTGGGAAATGGAAAGAAAATGTTCCAATGAGAAGGAGAACAAAGAAGGAGGGAGGGAGAGAGGAAGGGACAAGGAAAAAAAGAGAAAATAGAAGGAAAGAATGGAAACAAAGCTTTGCGTATAGGGGGAGGGGCTTTTGTACATGGGGGGAATGGGAAAAAAGAGGCAGGATATATCATGCCCACGTGCAAATTCCTACCATGAGCGTTAGCATTATGTAGGTATAAAATGTACCAATAAATGTTTTGCTATAAACAGAAAGAAAGAAGGAAGGAAGGAAGGGAGAGAGGGATGGGATAAGTGTGCTCAAAGCAAGGGGAGGATTTTGAGCGGGATTCATGGCTGTTTTTGCTGTAATAAAAATTTTAACTTAAGCATTCGCTATATTTTTCAATCATACCTTGTGTATAATTACGTCTTGTACATGATGCATGTCTCAGAGCTCAGGCATAAATCTCCGTAACGGCCACTATGCGAATGTAAATTTTATCCTGCTTACCTGAGGGTCTCCGTTCATCACTTAAAATAATTTAACTTAAAAAAAATAAACTCAAGAGCTTCACTCTCTTTTCTAATCTGATGTAAGACTGCTGGGGATTTCCTTCCATGGCTGTTTGTAACCCAAACTGGGGGCGGTCTCGGAGCTGTGGCCTGGGGGGGGGGGGGGGGTCCCGGTGGTTAGGGCAGAGGCAGCGGCCACCATCGCTTTTCTAAAGTGCGGATGTGAAGGAGAAACACAGAATTGCAGCTCCATCTATGGCAGAGGGGATCGCAGCCACCTTCCCCTCCCTCTCCAGACGCCGCCGGCCCACTTTCTGCCCCCTTGACTCTGCTTCACTTCGCCCCGCTGGCCTCCCGCCCCCCGCACCCCAGAACACACAGCTCCCACGGTGCCCCCCAGTTTCCAGGTGTTCGCTCGGCCTTCACTGCAGGCTTCTCCCTGCCTTCTCTGAATCAGATGCGAGCCCTCACAGGAGAGGCCTTGCGCTCGGGTTGTCTCCGCCCAAGAAAGTAGCAAAGCCTTCCCAGGAATGCAGAGCTGATTAGCAAACATCAGGCCTCACTGTACCA